GAATTTTGGAGACCTTTTGAAACGGAACAAAACGAAATTTACCATCAATATAATAAAATTGTTTGAGGACATAAATAATTAAAATATGTTGTTGATCAAATGAACATATAACAGAAATTTTCTACAAATTATATACAAATTATTATAATTTTTTACCTTTAGCAGAAAACTTTTTTAGGGACGCCTATGAAACTCATTAAATTTGATTGCTCGTTTTTTTATACATGTTCAACTGACTTCGCAAAGACTATAATTTTATTACATTTTTTGCAAGCCTTCATGACCCCCAACACTGTACTGCCTCAGCCCGAACCAGATTCAGACGTTTTGCCTCGAAAAATTCATCTTCAATGTATTTGTTCCAAAATTTAGATTTCTATGTTTATTGAATTATCGTACACTCTAAGTGCCGTTAGACCCTGTGAAATCTACCATAGTTATTTAAACTACGTATTACCATCACAGGGTACAATAAAACATAATTAAAGTTTTAATCTCCATCACCTGGTCATGGAGGTCACACATAATACGATAAGTTGTTGCGTCAAAATTAAAACATTACAATTTTAATTTCATTATGACAAATTAATTCTTAAAAATGCATTAGAACAACCAAAATTCCAAATAAATGTTATACTTTAAAAAATTACCTACAGTAAATGTTCAAAAACGTTTCCGTTTAGGCAAATGTTGAAAGTGGAGATAAGCATAATATGATAGGAATTTATTATACTTGTAACCGCAACTGTGAAAGAGCATATCAATTAGTATGAATATCTTGAAAAAATATAGATCGAAATTTGTTTGAATTTTGAGTACTCGAGAAACCTAGAAATAACTATGAGCACGGGATTAAAACTCTAATAACGTTCTTTGTACCGTGTGATGGTAATAGTTTAAATAACTAGGTGGATTTCACAGGGTCTAACGACACTTAGAGTGTATGATAATTCAATAAACATAGAAACCTAAAAAAAAAAATTAGATAAAGGAACGAATACATTGAAGATGAATTTTTCAAGACAAAACGTCTGAATCTGGTTTGGACTGAGGCAGTACAATATTGGGGGTCATGAAGGCTTGCAAACAAATGTAATAAAATTACCAGGGTCGTATTTAAAAAATTGAAGTTGATGATGGTTCTGGAGACGAAACGTTATATATAAAAATTGGTTATGCCATTCGATAGAGGGCAAAAAGTTACCATAAGAAAGTGTTTTTGTTTTTTCAATACCACCTCAAACAAGGCGGAAATGAAACAAAAACGGATTTCCAAAATTCGGGTTTTTTCAAATTTTTCGGAAACTAATCATGTTAGCCTTGATTTTTTAGAGGCATAATTTTGTCTCCTGATTACGCAACTTTGCCCCCATTTAAGCTACTTCGTATCTCTTACCGTTACTGAGATCCCTGTAGTGAGAAGCGAATTTGTAACAGCCTGTATACCATACACTACAAGGCGTTTAAAAAATTGAAGGTGTGATTTCCAATTCTTTTAAATTTGACCTGCCGGATTACCAAATTAAACTTTAAGTGGTGTTACAATTTTCCTGATGGTCATGGAAAATCTAGAATAGTCAAGAGATTTGATGAATGAGTGGGAATGTTGAATAATTTCTTGGTCTATTTTTAAGCTCTCTTCACTTTTCTGGGTACGGCACTGTTCGGTTTGGCATGGCGCGACGCAACGCGGCTCGGTTTGGCATGACGCGACACTGCCCGGCAGTTTATGTTGAAAATGCCGGCAGAAGTAAGATATGCTTAAATAAATGTTTCACGTTGATTGTTCACTAATTTTCTGGAATTATTTTTATGTTTAGTTTGCAGCCGTGCCAGACAAGTGAGCGGCATACAATGTGAAATTATATTTTTTTTCTATTTCCTGTAAGAAATTGATGTCTTTATTCTGATCCCAGTTTGTATTGTTTTAGGATCAATAACAATCCAACAAAAAGAAGGCGAAGGTTTTTCACCTCACCTCCATCCTTCAAATAGTTTGTACATTTTTTAGTTTACCTTACTATAGTTTTATTAACATTAATTTCCCTAGTTAAAAACCAGTCACCAAGTGGTGTATGAGTTTCTATCTTTTAAAGTATAGTTGTACAAAGTTTCTGTATTAGATTATATCTACACATTATTGTTTGTATCGCCCATTAGGCATACTCTATTTTTTAAGGCTATAGTTACTTAATATGAAATTGTATTTAGGCCCACTTTTATGGCTATGTTATTAATACAAAGTTTTCTTATTTCAGATTATAATTATTTCCCCAAATTTTAAAAAGTCATCTGATTGTTATAAGGCAGATATGTAACTAAAAACAGCAGCAAACTCTCTACACATTTATATAAACATATATTTTCAGATATTTCAATTTCTGAAAGTATGAAATAGATCTCTTATGCATAGGGGTGAACATTCGGGTAGTAATTTTCACTACATTTTTTTTTTCAATATTTATATGTAGAATAAAACATGTATAGATTCAAAACATTGTTTAAGTTTTCAAAATTTAAACCACCAAATACTATAATATAATATACACGGTGTCCCCTTTTAAATAAAGCATTGCAATATCTCCTTACTTAGGGAAGCACTATCAAGAGAAACTTTTTAGACAAAAGCTGTAGGGTTCTGAGGGCGACATTCGATGGTGATTTTGATACAAAGGTCAATCGTAGAGGTCATTTGAAGGACAACTTGGATTTTCAGATATGATAGATGTATTTCTGACACCGGAAATTTTACGTTCAGATATGTTTTTATGTTATGGGTCAAAGTGACCCGAAAGGGTTATTTTAGGGCCAAAGGTTTTGAATAAGATTTTGCCATATTTTTCGGGAAAGCGACGATGGATTCTGGTTGAAAGTTTTATGGTTTTATGGGATCATACGATGATGACCTTGCCTATAACCTAGAGGTCAAGCTTGAAGGTTCTTTGAAGGTCTAGTCAAGTTATAAAATAGGATAACCCTTTTTGCAGCTTCATTAAGTTAAGGAAAGATCATTATGGCCCAGCCAGTCGAGGCAAGATCTCTATAATCCAGTCAGTCAAGGCAAGGTCACTATGACCCGGCCAGCCGGGTCGAAGGCAGTATAACAACCCGAAAAACCGTAGTATTTTAAACAACAGGTCACTCATCTAATGAACATCCATGATCCATACATTACATACAAGATAAAAAAATATTTGTTTTTACAGTTTCCTCCCACTTTTAATTCTTCTACCTCTTTTAATTTTTTTCTTATTGACGGTTTTTGTAATAAGTAATTAAAATGATCCAGTTTCTTGACTTGGGGGATGGCTGTGAATTTGCTAGCAAAACAACTAAGTATTTCGATATTTATTTAACGTATTTTCATGGTGTTATTTTTTTTCACTTATTGATTATGATTTGATTGATTTCTTAAAATTCTTAAAGTATTTCTGCTTATTAGTAGTAAACTGGGTTCTCATTAACAATTCTGCATGTTCTATCTACAATCCCATTGCACTACCCATGAATAAATAAAGAAATTAGTTCATTTTAATCATTTATCACAAAAACCGTCAATAACAGAAAAATTAAAACAAATAGGTACAGGGAAGTGTAATATGGATGGAGAGTAAAATTCTACAACAGATTTTGAAAAACCAAGTTCTGGTGGTTCGTAGTTAAGCAAATTTGAAATAAATATTCATCACCTTGTGTAAAATTAAACTGTTTTTAAAGTAACTGTAATAGAAGACCAGCCTCCCAAATATCAGTAATTCAGCTTGTACAATGCAAAAAATAGGCAATTTTGAATTAGGCTACCGGAAAGCAACTTTTAATTGATATAATTGAAATATCTCGGAGACTATTGGAAATACATATAGGGAAGTTTAATAAAAGTCCCTCTAAAATTACGCGTAGAATCCAAATATGCAAATATATAGGGTGTCCCATTTAAAATAAGCAAGTAGATGGCGACTTCCGGTACAACCGGAACAATGGCATTATTTTATTTAAAGAGAACATTCCGAAAAACCCCAAAGCCTAAATTTTCAAAATTGAAATAGAAGTAGGTCTCTGAAATATTTTAATGGGCCGTCACCGTAAAACAACCTGTATATAATAGCGTAATATAATGTTTATAATTTATATACCTACATTATCATTTCTTTGAATAATGTTTATATTATTACCGAAAAGTTTTGATACAGAATACATTTTTTTTCTAACACTAATCATAACATTAAGTTGCAAGTAGTAAAGGCTAAAAGGCGTGCTACTCGTAGGTAACATTATTAAAGTATCTACGAAAATTGACTTGTAATGAATATCTGCACACGTGATATCCAAAAAAAATGTATCTAAAACCTTTTTAAACAAATTTCTTTCAACTATTTGAAATGAGGAAGTATCAAAAGGAGTAGTAAGTGCTGATGTTCTGAGACTGAAAATCGTAGCTCATTTCTTGCCAAAGGTGTCAAGCTTTAATTTTAAGTCTATATTTAGTGAAAACTACAACAGGTATATTTTTTATTTTTGGAATATCTGTTTTGAAATTTTAGAAATATTCACATGAGTAAGTAAATCATTAACATAATTACTAAAATGCATTTAACCCTATATGACTCATTATTTTTTTTTATTTTTAGGATTACAAAGAATTTTCAGAAGTAAATCAATTTTAAAAATAATTTTATTTAATTACATGTAACCCCTTCAACCACTATTGAGGCTTAAGGATTTTATATTGATATTACCAACCATGAATTATTGGCCTATCTATGCTCGACGGTCACGTGGCTTGTAAACATTTCTGAAGTATAACTGCATATTCTGAAGATTTTAATAAACTTGTACTGGATAAGTTTTTTTTTAGAAAGTTTTTCATGAATATTTCCTTCAATTGAGAATGTCAAGATCCCGTTTAATTCATGATGTTACCGGTGAGGAAAATTACACATTTACACAGGTATTTTTTCATTTTAATTAAAAATTTTAATCTAGGTGGCAATGAAAGACAATTTAAGTTCACTTTTTATTTTTCGAACTTGCACAGTAAAAATTTGGTTCTGGTTTTGTAAAACTAATATTTGGTAATTTACACATTTAATCAATTTTTAGCATATAAATAATCATTAAATTACGGTTAAGGATTTCGAAGGTACAATAAATTAGAAAAACGCTTCTTTGGTAAAAAAATATAGATACTGGAGCTCTGCAGCATTAAAAAAAATGAAATTTGACATCACGGCGGCTTACAACTTTAGAACAGTTTTTCCAAGGCGGCGCTAATTTTAAAGTCGGCGCACATGGTTAAAATAAATAATACACTCTCCGAACATCATTCATCCAATTTTATCTAGGGTTCAAGAATCTGTCAGTCTGTCTCAAATTTTGAGGTTCCCTGATATCATAAATGAACTCCGCATCGGGATTGATGGGCGCGCCAGAATCGGCCAAGATTTGGTTTACTCGTATGTCATCGGACAGATCAATTGGCCTCGGTGGATACTGGTGGGGGGTTATAGAGTTATCTTCGAAGGTCTCGATGGACTCGACATCGTTCCATTCCGGACCCAGATTGGTGGAATACTTGAATTTTTGGAAAGGACGGTTGTCTACCTCGTCGAAAGTCTCGATGTTGTCGGTGTCTCGGGCCTGACAGAAAAATAAGTGCATGGAAGTGAAAAGTGCAAAGGTAACAAAAAGAAGAGTAGAAAGCTGTATGGGGTCATAGGAAATAAGGCGACCATCACTAAAAATACATTTTGATATTTTTTTCAATTACTCCTTATCTTAAACAGATATTTTTGTTAATCAGATTCATCCGAAATTAGTTGACTCAAATTTTGTTTTTTTAAAGGAATGTGTTGAATAAAAAATAAAATAACCTTTTAGTTCATGATAAAATAAAGTATCCAATTATCTAAAACTGTAAGGACAGTCCAATTTTCGATGGGAATCTGGTTTATTCAGAAACTAAGTAGGTACTGGAGACAGAGAAATATGAATAACACATTCTTGTCAACAATTTGCCAGATATATTGAAATACCAAATCAAAAATTGCCATATTATTCATACAAACTGTATTTACTTTAATTCTACAGGTAGTTCCTTTAGCGGCATAGCACAAAACAACAATATCACGAACTACTTTGATGTTTTGTGTAGAGCGACTTGAAGAATGGCCAGAGTGTTTAAGATCACTAATTGATCCAGTCTCTCCTCAATTAATCTCTTCACAGTTGATGAAGTTAAATCACTATTCTGACCATATTTTGTATGAAAATTGCGAACTGTAACTACCGAACTTTCATTATTTTTAAAATATTGCTCAACGATAAAAACGTTCCATTTTTAACAACCCTGAACTGTCAGCTGTGACTCTTTTTTTCGATAGTAACACTTTACCGCACAAATGGAGCAAAAAAATCTTGTGTGAATTTTGGGACACCTTGTATGTAACTTTACCGATCGTCACACTGTCACCTCTATTATTCGAATTAACTCTAAAGTTAACTAGACTAATCTACGAAAAGTGACCAATACCGATTTCTTTTTCTTTTTTAATTTTTACAGTACGCGTTCTGTATTTTCAGTGATGGAGAAGGTTAAAGAATATGTTAGTAGGCATAAATTAAAATAATAAGAAATACATACAAAAGAGATAAAGAACAGAAGTTTATATATTTTGTGAAACGACCTGGAGTAAAGAAAATGAAAAGTAATGAAAACCCATTTTGCAAATATACGGGAGTAATGTTACTATTTTAAGAATAAATACTTTATTAACAAAAATTTTCAGCTAATACAAAAACATTACTGTATACCGTTCCTAACTAAAAATATATAATAATGGTAAAATAAAGTAAGTAGATATTATATAAGCAATAATAATTATTAGATGTTGATAGTAGATCTGGTTAATAATTATATATTACTGTCTGTTTATTATTTATATGTAAGTAGGAAAAGGCATTATTGTATTTTTAGATTACGTGAAACTCATGCACTAGCTGCCTGTAATTTTTCTGGGGCGCTTTTAGTACCAACCTCTTTGCTCTTAATGATCTCATTCTCGATGCTATTTTCTATCGATTCTCTATCTGGGACCGATGGTGGTGTGGTGACTACTTCTGTGTCTCCGTTGGTGGTCAATTCGCTGCTGTCTGGCCTTACGTCGATGATACGCACCTTGAAGAAGGCGCCTCCGAAATCGTCCTCTTTTTTGTATTCGGTCTCGTTAATTACTACTTTGTGTCCATCGATGACCTATAATATACCAAAATATATGTCAACCGTGAGAGTTTGCTTAGACATACAAGGTGTCTACTTTTATTTGTGTACAAATCCATAAAACGTTTATTCTTCAAGACAGAACATTTGTTTGTTTTAATGGGTATTCAAAACTACTTTTAATTAATCATCAAAGGTCGCACTTAGGGTGGGCCACCTTAAAGGTCACACTAGTGCGAATTGGGATTTTTACAACTTTGAACCTTTATGTCTGCTTTAAGTGTTAACGAAAACATAACAAATTTATATCAAAACTGGAGTAAAATTTTACGAGAAATCGAATGACATAATTAGTTTTGAAAAAATATTAATTTGTTAATAAAAAATACGATTGAAAAAACATTTTTCAAAAGAGAAGAGAAAGAGTAAAAAAAGGATTTTGAAGATCAGTTTATATTAAAAAAAATATCCCATATTGATAAATGATATCGATTTTCCCGGTATCTCGAATAAAGGCATTGTTTAGAGTTGTGATTTTTGGCTTCTTTTCTGTAAATTGATGTTTATTTTACACTCTTTTGTATAAAAATATTAATTTAAACAATATTATCCATAAAAATTGATAAATACGTTACAATTAAACTATTAATGAAAAAAAAAAATTGAAAAATATGCTTAGTCGACACATCAAATAAGTTGAACTTTACATATCAATTCACTTTATTTCTAGATTATGATATAAATTTAGTTACATTTTTGCCCACATTAAAGTCACACTAGTGCGAATTCGCACCGATCGGACTTTTCACACACTAGTTTGGCCGAAAATAACAGACTGAGGCCAGCTGTGGTAAGGCTCGATTGTTTGGGCTATAGAAGGATTATCGGCAGTTGCTACTTGAGAATTGTCAGCCATTCAAAAAAACCGGTAGTGCGAATTGGCGCTAGTGTGACTTTTGAGGGTTAAGATTGATATCCAGATACATCTATATTACAATATGACCATTTATAATTCTTTTAATTTAATCCCCTCAAAACACCCATATTAAAAAGATTTTACGTATTTGTAGACAAATGCTAGTACAGGGTGTCCGCGTTTTTTGTAGCAGGACTTTCACAATTTGTACTAAAAGTCCTTTAAAAAAAAGTTCATGTAAACATATATGTATAGATGCATCGTTTTCGATTTAGAGAGTGTTACAAGTTAAAAATGAGAATTGATTTTTTATCGTAAAATGAAAACCCCTTTTTAGACTTTGTTGAAACTTGGTAACATTGTTTGTAATAATAATACTCATTTTCTCACATAATTTAATTTGTCCTATTTTCCCCAGTGGCGTCACAACAAGATACCAGCTTGATAAAAATAGAAAAAAATATGGTACGCCACTGCTTTTTGGTAAGTTTGAAATTTTTCTCAGATTTAGCTATCAAAAATACAACTTTTTTGTTATTTACTTTTTTCCTATCTCGCTTTGTTTAGACAGAAATAAAACTTTTTGTTTCACACAGTTTATTGTAAGATAATAAAAAAAAATAAACAACACGGTATAGAAAAACAACTTATTGTATAAATAGACCTCAAAGGAGCTGTTCGAAATGCCCGCCATATCGTTCTACACACAAATTATAGCGACGTATCAAAGACCGCCTAACGTCTCTCAAATGATGTGGAGTTATTCTGAGAGCAGCGTTCCGGATTCGTCGTACAAGTTCCTCTTGCGAGGCGTAGAGTGAACTGCATCCTCAATAAATCCCCAAACAAAAAAATCCAAAGGTGTTAGATCAGTCGATCGCGGAGGCCACCCAACTGGACCTCCACGATCCACCCTCTCTGTGGATACTCTGTATTCAGCCAGTTTCGTACCACCAAAGAGTACTGGGAAGGGCATCCATCTTTGTTGAAAAGGAACATCGTCTAGCATGTTATCATGCTGGGTAGTTAAAAATTCAAGAAATAATTGACCGCTTAATCTATTGGGCAGGATGTAAGGTCCCAACAAAAAATCCTTGGCAACTCAAAAACAGACATATTCACGGCACACTTTGTAACAAGTAAATAAATAAATTAAGCAAATCTCGAACCTATTCATGAAAATGTTTTACTTCTGACTAAACAAAGCGAGATAGGAAAAAATTAAATAACAAAAAAAGTTGTATTTTTGATAGATAAATCTGAGGAAAATTTGAAACTTACCAAAAAGAAGTGGCGTACCATACTTTTTTTATTTTTATCAAGCTGGTATCTTGTGACGCCACTGGAGAAAATAGGACAAATTAAATTATGTGAGAAAATGAGTATTATTATTACAAACAAAGTTGCCAAGTTTCAACAAAGTCTAAAAAGGCGTTTACATTGTACGAATAAAAAATAAATTCTCATTTTAAACTTGAACACTCTGTAAATCAAAAACGACGCATCTATACATATGTATATGTTTACATGAACTTTTTTTTTAAAGGACTTTTAGTATAAGTTGTGAAAGTCCTGCTACAAAAAACGCGGACACCCTGTATAATATCAGTCATAATAGTAGATAATATTAGTACAGCTATGACCATAACACATACTTAAAAAAGTTGAATTGAGTTACACTATGTTTAAAATTAGCCACATCATATCATATTTTCAGTTCTAATAATAAAAAATAAATTCAATACTTCACTTTTGACGATGCAATAAAAATACAAAAACTATTTTTTTTTTGTTTTTACAATATTTAAGAAGAAGCAGATGAAACTGTAGTAGTAATTATTTTGTTATATTCACAAAATTCGTAGAACTTAAAAATCCTTACAGACGAAACATATTACAGAAAAATAATTATCATTTAATTCAGAATTAACTTTTCGTATTAACCATTAATGTAATGGACGTTTAATCTGAAAAACTCGAAAAATCTTAATTGCCGATGGATAATTTTTATAGAAAGTATGTTAATCATTGTACCCATATCGAAGTCAGAAAACTCAATGTCTAAACTATCCGCAGTTCAAAAACTGACCTCTCAGGATCGAACATTTTTGAATTCAGAATATTTTAGCCTTAAAAACATGACAAAATATGGCACTCTATCTAAAATAATCATGTTAGTGTCAACTTCCGATATAACCGGAAGTGTAAATAAGACGCCGCTATTTTATTTATGTACAATATTTGTTGAGATAGAATTAAAAAAAAAATAAACCAAACACGCCTTCGCAAAGACGAAACAGTATGCACTGTAAATTGCTACGGTGAACGTCACGTCGCCAATGTCTTTCTACCTCGAGTGTCGAATGCGGTTAATTTCAAGAAAGTGACGCAGGGGTCTTCTTGGAATTCTATCTCAGCAAATGTCGTACGGACTGTACGTATTGTTATTATACTATTTATAAGACAACCTTTGTGACTGATGTAGTGTTTCCTTTGCTCAAATCAATATCTCCAAATGCTGGTAGACCCACACCAATGGGAAAATCTGGAATATCTTCCGTGGAATTGCCTCTGATTGCCGGGAATCTCTTTAGAAGAGCATCCATTTGCTGCCTCATTCTTGTCATTATACCTAAAAGAATAATTAAACACTAAAATAGTTTACAAATGCTGTTATAGTTTTTATTAAATAGTGTAATTCAATGTTGGAGGGGTCTGTAGGCCGCAGAGTAGTTGTTTCCAACAATATCGTTAATTAAATACTGAAATAATTTTCTTAATAATAATAAATTTTAACTTGATTTGTACATTGTCATTAAATTCAATGGATATTCTGGACTAAATAAATTTCGATTACCATAACTCTTTAAATTTACAATGCTATGGATTCAACATGGTGCAATATTCAACAAATTTTTCTAGTCGAGAAGTAAAAGAAATTGAAATGGATGAGTAACATTGATTTCTATCAAGGTTCTAAGATCGTGTAAAGATGCGATTTTTGATCAATTAGTGAAAATACGAAATTTGGCACAGTACAATTTCCTCATTGTAGTAGCTATCAGCATATAAAAGACTAACTAACCAGTGATAAAAGGAATTTCACTTGCCAGAAGTCTTCTGTTATAAATTTAGATAAATTATCTTCAACCAAAACAAACCTTTTGAATGACAACCTTTTTTAGTAGAATGTCATTAGTCGTAAGTCAAATTCTAAAAACTGTAGGTAACAATGAAGATCGTGAGTAGCAGACCATAATAAAAGCACATAACTTAAGAACTTCAGCTGCATGCTTATGCAGATGTGCATATATTTGTTTGTCTAAAAAACACGGTTAAAAACAAAATTGGGCTATAGTTCCTAGGAAAAATTATTTAGAGAATTGAATTTCTCATCGTTTCCCATTTATTTAAAAAATTTAAAAGGAAAATTTTATGCAAAAAAATCGTTAATAAACAATTCGAAAAAAGTAAAAAATTTGATTTTCTGATTTTTTTTTTACTTTTTTGCCTCTAGTTTTTTTTTGAGTAAAGATAGGTATAGGTATTGCTTCATAGAAAAAAAAAGTAGGTAAAATTTCCTTCAAAACAAGAGGTTGTAAAGTATTTTTGGATGAAAATTGACCGATATATGGCTGCTCAAACTCAGCCAATTTTTTTATTTTCATCGCGTTTACCCTTATACGTTTTAATTCTCATTTTTTTTGTAAAAAAGGAAGGAAATAAGACGTTCAAGGATTTTCATCACATGATTTGTTCGAAGGGTCTTTAAAAATGAAAAAACTGCGGGGTGCTATTAAATTAAGAGGGTTGAAATTGAAGATAGGGGTGAAAAAGCACTATAGCAGTTTTTATAAATATAGCACGAAAACGAAGCAAAATTTCGGTATAGTATAGAAAAATTTTGTAGAGAATTGCATTTCTCATCGAAATGGCTTATTTAAAAAATTTAAAAGGAAAAATTTATGCAAAAAATCGCAAAAAGTAAGTTTGTTTGATTTTTTTTACTTTTTTAATAAAATAATTTAATAAAAACTTGAGAATTTAAGTAAAATAAAGTTTATTCAAAAAGAAAAAAGAAAGCAAAAAATAAGATTTTTTTGAATTTTTTTACTTTTTTAATAAAATAATTTAATAAAAACTTGAGAATTTAAGTAAAATAAAGTTTATTAATAATGTATATACAGTGTGTCCACGGATGGAATTGACAAGAGTAGAAACTCTTTTGTTTTTGGCTTTATCGAAAAATGTCACTCTTTATAAAAAGTTCTGCCTTCGAAGAAATGAGACTACCATACAAACATCTTAGATTAGATATACAGGGTGCTCATAAATTAAAAAATACGAAAATACTCAAGAGAGAAGTACATACCATTATTTATTATTTTACACAAATGCAAATTTTAAAATCAAAATTTCCCTATCTTCAATTTCAACACTAATTTAATAGCACCCCGCGGTTTTTTCATTTTTAATGACCCTTCGAACAAATCATGTCATAAAAATCCTTAAATGAATTGTGTCCTTTTTTTTTTTGCAAAAAATGAAAATTAAAACGTATAAGGGTAAACGCGACGAAAATTGAAAAATTGGCTAAGTTGGAGTCAATTTTCATCCAAAAATACTTTACAACCCCTCGTTTTGAAGGAAATTTTATCTACTTACTTTTTTTTCTATAAAGAAATGCCCATACCTATCTTTACTCAAAAAAAAAAACTAGAGGCAAAAAAGTAAAAATAAAAACAGAAAATCGAATTTTTGCTTTTTTTCAAATTATTTATTAACGATTTTTTTTTGCATAAAATGTACCTTTTACATTTTTTAAATAAGCTATTCCGATGGGAAATTCAATTCTCTAAATCATTTCTCCTATGAACTATAGCAAAATTTTGCTTCGTTTTCGAACTACAATTAAAAAACTGGGGTGCATTTTCACCCCTATCTCTAATTTCCGCCCTCTAATTTAATAGCACTCCACGGTTTTTTCATCTAAAATGACCAGTTGAACGATTCATGTAATAAAATATCTTGAACGCCATAGTTCCTTTTAAAATCCTATATTGTATCTTTCATTCAAATAAACACAAGCTTGTACAAAACTTCAAGTTATTAGGTTGATTTTGATCATGGTCCGCTGCTGTTTTGTTGCTTCTAATATTGCCTCGGATTTAAGATTTTTAATTGTTTTAATTGTGGACGACGATTTCAGGAAACAAGCTCAATAGGCACTATATGTATAGATAACTACTATGAAAGAACTGCATTCTAACTGATCAATCTTTATATAGGGTCGGAAAGTCCCCATGGTTCATCGGCCGTTACGTGAGAGCGATAAAGAAAGTCATAGAAATCCGTGCGATAGAGAAAGATGGCTATAATGAAGGCATCTAATAGTCACCGCCCATTTCGCCCTTCCAGAAATAAGAAGTGGATCTTATTTGTGGAAGGGCGAAATGG